CTGTGCTAAGAACTTGAGGGGTCCCTGTATTCAGAACTTGAGGGGTCCCTGTATTCAGAACTTGAGGGGTCCCTGTGCTAAGAACTTGAGGGGTCTCTGTATTCAGAACTTGAGGGGCCCCTGTGCTCAGAACTTGAGGAGAGGCGAGTCCACATTCTCCTTGTCGGTGGCAGGGCTCAGCTGGATCAGAGGAGAGGCCAGGTCGATCAGCTGCAAGAGAAGGACAAGGAGGTGAATGTAGTGCCTACACCGGCTGCCCACACCTCCCGGCCACTCACTGGAGGACTGTGCCCATTGGGCTGCTCCCAGCTGTGGACAGTGCCCTGTAGATGGCCCAGTCAGGGGCCCTGAAGGAACATGGATCTCACTTATAAGGGGAAATGGGGCAGGGGCCCAACCTGAGCACCCAGGGTCCCTGCAGACCTGCACACCCCTCACGCCAGCTGAGGCAGTGGGAACACATGGGAAAAGCGCCAGGAAGAAAGCGCTCTGAGGACGGGACAGCCCACCAGTGTTTGTGCCTGGAAAGGAGCCAGGCACCTGTGGCCCAGTGTAAACAGGACAGGCCACCCAGCATGTCCGTGAGCTCGCGGCCATCACAGTCCCAACAGGAGCCACACGCCCGGCCCCACAGTCCTGAGGAGCCGTGTCTGCTCCCCAGGCTGACGGAGACACATCCAGGGTGCAGGAACCGAGGCCCCCAGGGCTGGAGGCACTGGCCCCTCTCACCTGGCCTGCCGGCGGGAGGGGCTTCAGTGGGGTGTCCCTGTCAGGGGTGTTTATCATGAGGTCTATTAGAGGTTTGCTGCCACACTCCAGAGCCCCAGGGCCGGGGGGCGGATGCTGCTCTCCTCCGTTCTCTGGGGTGCTGCACAAGTCGATGAGCGGGAGGTCAGCCTTCGGGGTGATGGTGAGGCCGCCCAGCTGGATATCCACCAGGACGGCCTAGGGGACAAGAGCAGAGACGCTCTGTGAGGATGTGGCGACACAGCCACCTGGCCCAGGTCCCCAAGGGGATAAACCCCACCGCTGTACCTCTGACCCACACACGGTGGCCCTGGGGTCAGAGGGTTCAAGGCTGCAGGTGGTACAGGACAGAGTGGCGCGTGGGTCCAAACCCCTGACCTTGTGTTAGTACCCCGTTCACTGGCCGACATCCGAGCACCCTCACCCTCCTGCCCTCTGCCCTCCGAGGCCCTGAGGCCCAGCTTCCTGATGGCTGCATCGGGGGCACCTCACGTCTCACACACTGAGGTACCTCGTTCGCGGGCAGGCCCTCCACTGGCTTTCCCTCGGCCAGACTCGCCTCGGTGGTGAGATTTCTGGAGAAAGTGAAATCGTTCTTTTCTGGAGAAAAATTCAGTGCCTGTGGCACATGGTCTGGGGGAGAGAGACTCCCGTCCGAAGAGTCAGATGGCAGGAACACGACCTTTCCCGCTGGTGCCTCCTTTCTGTGGGAGGGAGAGAGGGGGAGAGTGAGGGGCGCCGTCCACGCCGTGGATCATGTGAGGGGTGCTGTCCACGCCATGGACCACGTGAGGGGAGCTGTCCACGCCACGGACCATGTGAGGGAAGCTGCCTACACCGTGGACCATGTGAGGGGAGCTGTCTACACTGTGGACTGTGTGAAGGACGCCATCCACGCCGTGGACCGTGTGAGGGGAGCTATCTACACTGTGGACATGTGAGGAGTGTTCTCTGGTGTAAACTGTCTGAGGAGATTCTGTGAGGAGCGTGGCCCACAGTGCGAACCCCACGTGGCAAGTCCTCTCTCTCTGGATGCGGCCGCCTGGCACTAGGGAAGCAGAGCGGTTTGGAAAGGGTCACCGAGTGAAGGAGCCCTGCCCTGGCATCTCAGGGTCTCAGGGTGGGTGGGGGACCCCTGGGTCACACAGCTGTGCTCCCACCATCACCCACACAGGGGCGGCGGGAAGCACGTGTCTCCCCTCCTGCACCTCACCTGGCTCCTGATCGCGGCCGGGGCTCAGAGGACCGTCGCCGGGCTGACGGGCACCAGAGAGAAGTTTGAGACCGCGGCATGGTCCGCGGTGCCATCCGAGGGAGGCTGGAGAGGCGACGGCTGGCAGGGGTGGGCGTGGCCGGTGGGCACTTTGTGCTCGTGGGGGTCCTGGGCCCAGGGAGAAGGCTCTGCGAGGCTGGTCTGGATGGAGGCTTGACCGGGGTGCTGTGGACAACCCTGGAGGGCAGAGGCAGACAGTGTCTAAGCTGGGACAAGCCTCCAATTCAGCCCACCACAGTGGGAAGTCCTGCGGGCCGAGAGCAGGGACCCGGAGAACCCCCAGGAAGGGGCCAGGCTGCTGCTGTGTCACCCCTGGACCCCGGCTCCTGTCTTTCCCTCGCTGGGGACGCTGACCAAACCCATCAGCCCTTCCTGGAAGGTGCTGAGAATACTTGCTGGCCAATTCACTCTTGATTTCATGCCACTGTGATGTCCCGTGGGCCTGGCGGGCACGGGGCTACACCCGCACGTCTCTCTACCCAGTAGTCATTATGCGAGTGGTCAGTTCGTGAGGCGGGGACAGGACCCCTGCCCCTCACAGACCTCTCCCGGGCACCTGCGACACAGGATGAGGCACGCCTCACTCTGACTTTGCTCTGTCACAGAGAGAGGGGCGAGCAAAGCCAAGGGTTTATGATAAAAATACTAAAATAACTGTCAAAATGAGGCAAGGTGTGACATGTTGCCCCACAAACCCCGAGGGAGACAAGACGACCCATCTACCAAAGACATCTGCTCTCCCTCTCAGGAGTGGAGCCCGGGCTCTTGGGGGCGGGGGGGGTGGACCCTGGTCTTCACGGCAGCGCTGTGGTGGGCACAGTGGCCCCCAGGTGAACTGCGGCCGTGCGCAAGGGTCTGAGAACTCGCCGGACTTTGTGTGAAAGCAGTAACTGCTCAAAAAGACTTCTAAGTCTGCAGACGGACTTGGAGCCAACCCTGGCCACGGAGGAAAGTGGCACTATGTGGTCACGCTGCTGCGTTCCCCCAGCACTGGGGCCCTGCCCCGGCTCCCTTCGCCGTTGAACCCCAGCGTCGGTGAGAACAGCCCTCCGCGTGTCTGTGGTGACCCTGCATCCTCCCTCTGCAGCCGAGGAAGCCAAGGCCCAGGGTGAGCTGGCAGGAGGTGGCGGCCAAGGTCATGGGCCCCGGGACAGGCAGGGGTGCAGCTGGGAGCCCTTAAGGAAAAGCAAGGCAGTGGGGACAGACTTGAGTTACCTGCCCACGGACGCGCAGGACTGTGGCCGCTGTGCCCGGGAGCGCTGTGGGGTCGCGGTGACTGGAGACGCACCTGTGGCAGAGCACGAGCGGGCAGTCAGGTAGGGAGCCCACCCCCTGATCACCCCAGACGGGCTTCCAATAATGGCAGCCCCAGCGTTAGCCATGATGCCCAGGAAGGGGCAAGTAGGGCACAGTCACAAGGGCTCGACGCTGCATGCAGAGGCAGGAGAGGGTGCAGCCTCCCTCTGCAGCTCTGGGGGGCCCGCCAAGGCCATGGTTTGGGGGCTGACCGAGGCTCCAGGAGAGGAGCCCTGTGCCCAGCTGGCCTTCACCACCCTTGCCCGTGGGCAGGATGAGCATCGTGGTCAGCGCCCTCCAGGACAGACGTGTTTGCTCTTCTGCAGTCTACAGGGCACGCAGAGCCACAGCCCAGGAACTGGGACGGCCGGGAGCTGGACTAAGGGGGAGCTGGGCCGAACAGGAGCTGGGCCGCCCCGGAGCTGGGACTCTCGGGAGCTGGGCCGCCCGGGAGCTGGGATGTCCAGGAGCTAGGACGAATGGGACCTGGGCAGCCCAGAAATTGGATCACTCGGGAGCTGGGACACCTAGGAACTGGACCGCCTAGGAGCTGGGACACCCGGGAGCTGGGATGTCCAGGAATTGGGAGGAACAGGAACTGGACCGCCTAGGAGCTGGGACACCCGGGAGCTGGGATGTCCAGGAATTGGGAGGAACAGGAACTGGACCGCCTAGGAGCTGGGCCGCCCAGGAGCTGGGATGAACAAAAGCTGGGACGCCGGGAGGTGGACCGCCGGGAGCTGGACTACCCACCACCCTCACCTAAACAGCAGCAGCTAGAGTGGGTGGTGAGGGGAAAGGTGCCACGACCACCCAACCTGCCGTTGGAACAGACGGCAATGCATCAGGGACTCACCGATGGAAAACATGGGCCTTTTGAAGAATCTTGACGGCGTGGGCGCGGCTGTGGGTGTGGAGCTGAGACAGGACCCTCGCCTCTGAGAGCCCCCGGCCGCACTCCGCTGAGAAGACCCGGGCAGAGTGAAGGTGGTGTCCAGCTGCGGGCCCGCGGTGTCTGGGGTCTGTGGTTGCAGGAAGGAAGCCGTGCTGGCCCCGCTGGGTTGCTCTGCAGGGGCCTGAGCGCCGCTGGCCAGCCTGGTCCGTGTGCAGCCTGCATCTGAGGGGCCTGTGGGCCTGGGCCTGCCCTGCCCCCGGGTGCCGGATGAGGCCCGGGCATCATTCGCAGGAGTACTGGCCAGTTCACCCGACTTAGCTGCAAAAGAAGAGATAAAACCTAGTGCTCACACAGCTGTACAGTGAATTAAGTCATGATGCTATTTAAAAACACACCATCTTTAACTTTTCCTCCCTAACGTTTTCAAAGGTTTCCTCTCACAATGACATTCACAGAGGAGAGTCACGTGACACATGGACACGGGCCTGTGTGTCCATCAGGCAGCATCATCCTACAGGACAGGCTGTACCGCTGGTGGTCAAGCAGTGCTAACTCAAGTCCTGACTCTATCCACAATCGCCAAGGTGGATGGGCCATGGAGGAGCTGGACCTCTCGCTCCTCACCGACACTGCAGACAGAAATGTGGCCCGGAGGAGCAGATGAAAGGGGAGCCTCGTCTCCAACCTCGCACCCCTCCACCGGACAGGTAGGCAGAAGGGGACCTGAGAGGACACCTTCGCCACTGGTCACTCTTACATTTCAAAGCGTCATCGAGACTCTGTGAGTCATCAACTCTATTTCAGTAGAGCTGCAGACCAGCTAGAGGACACTCAGCTGCCACCCAACAGGAGTCCAGACGTGACGCAGAGGGGGCAGTGCTGGGCTTCAGAATGAAGCGTGCTGACCAGACCTCAGCAGATGTCCAGACGTGACGCAGAGGCTCAGTGCCAGGCTCCCACATGGAAGCGTGCTGGCCAGACCTCAGCAGATGTCCAGATGTGACGCAGAGGGGGCAGTGCTGGGCTCCCACATGGAAGCGTGCTGCTCGGACCTCAGGAGAGGTGGCCCAAGGGGAAGGCCTAGCAATCTGCTTGTGAAGGACAATGGCCGGGAACACTTCTGTGTCTCTCCATCACCAGACCTCGGGATTCTGTGTGTGGTCTGGATGCACGCCGATCTCCCTGACGTCACGAGCTGTGAGCAGAGGGGCGCTGGCCCACCGCACCTGCACCGTGGCTGACACTGCCCGGCCCTCCTGCCAGAGCAGAGCTGCTTTTTGCTAAACAAGGCCAAGAACAAGGGACTGGCCAGGCCACCACCACTTCCGACTCAGGTTCCTTGGCAACCCTGCAAGCCGGTGCCAGAACCCTGACTTGTTGAGTTCTGTCGGCGCCAAGGGGCAGGACTTGAGGCTGGCCAGCAGAGTGCAGACGGTAGGGCTGTGAGCACAGTGCACTGGTGCTGCTGAGAACTCGGTCAGGGTCCACTCAGCAGACAATGTTAGAGGAATGACCACCTTGTAAACACAGAGAGGACTGACCATGTGTAAACCCTATGCGAGGACTGACCCCCCTGTAAACACAGCAAGAGGACTGACCACCTGTAGATACCATGTAAGGACTGACCCCCTGTAAACACAGCAAGAGGATTGACCTATAAACAAAGCAAGAGGACTGAGTCCCTTTAAACACAGCGAGAGGACTGACCACCTGTAAACACCATGTAAGGATTGAACCTCCCTGTAAACAAAGAGAGAGGACTGACCCTCTGCAAACACAGTGTGAGGACTGACTACCTTTAAACACAGCGAAGGACTAACCCCCCCCCCCGTAAACACAGAGAAGACTGACCCCCTTTAAACACAGCGATAGGACTGAACTCCCTGTAGACACAGCAGGAGGACTGATGCCCCTGCAAACCCATGAGAGGACTGACCACCCTGTAGACACAGAGAGAGGACCAAGCCCCTGCAAACACCATTAGAGGCAGCTGTTACGTTGTTCAGTCCCAGTAAGTCAACCACAATTCACAGCAACCTGGTGCAAAACAGATGTGACCCTGCGCTGTCCAGTGCCGTCCTCATGAGCTCGGATACGCTCGAGCCCACTGCTCCAGTCACTCTGTTAGTCCATCTCCTGGAGGGGCTTCCTCTCCCCCTGGCCCTCCACCCTTCCCAGCACGCTGCCTTCTCCTGGCAGCACGCCTGAAGGGTGGAGATGGAGGCGGAGGCGAGCACTCTGCTCGTAGGAGCACTCTGGCTGCACCTCCTCCACTGACCTGTCTGTTCTTCTGGAAGTCCACGGGACAGTTGGGGCTCTTCGGCAATCCCACAATCCAAAGGCACCAGTGATTCTTCCATCTTCCCTATTTATTGTCCAGCTTTCAGATGCACAAGAAGCAACTGAAAAGACCACGGTTTGGGTCAGGCACACTTTAGCCTGAATCAACACCGTTACTTTCCAACACTCTGGAGAGGTCCCTGACAGCACTTTCCCTGGACCAATTCATCCTTGATTTCCTGACTGTTGGTGCCAAGAGAGCTGTGTATCCGAGTAAAATGAAATTGTTAATAACCTCAGTCTCTTCTCCATCTATCACACTTGCTCTTTAGAACTCGGAGAGGTCTTTGACAGCAAATTTCCTCAGTGCAACACATCTTTTGATTTTCTGTTATTACGATGGATGTTGACTGTGGATCCGTAGAATGATGAAATACTGTTTTTGTTGTTATGTGCCATCAAATTGTGACTCATAGCGACCCTGTGCACAACAGCTCTGAAGCCTGCCCTATTCTGAGCCAGTCTCACTGTCTCCAACACACCTGCCCCCGTTATCCCATTTACTGTGTCAAGCCATCTCATCCAGGGTCTTCCTCTCCTGTGCTATCCCTCCATCCACCCTTCCAAGCATGATGTCCTTTTCCAAGGACTGGTCCCACCAGGGCCACATGCACAAATATGACAGACAGAGCCTCAAAATCCTTGCCTCCAAGGAGCAGCTTGGTTTCACTCTCTCCAGGTCAGACCTGTTTGTTCTCTTAGCAATCCATGGTATGTTCAAAATTCTTCTCCAGCACCACAACTCACTGATTCTTCTGTTACCCGTAGTTAGCTGTCTACCTCTCTGATGCAAAGCAAGTAACGGCCAAGATCATGGCCTGGATCAGGTGCACCTTAGTCTTTAGACTAACATTGTTCCTCTTAAGCACGGTGGAGAGGTCCCTGACAGCAAACTTCCTTAATGCAATGTGTCTTTTAACTTCCTGACTGCTGATGCCAAGAGTGTTGATTGTGGAGCCGAGCAAGCGGAAACTGTTAACCTCAAACTCTTCTCTATCATGGTGCTGCCAATTGGCCCAGTGGTGAGAATTTTTGTCTTCTTGATGTTGAGCTACAATCCATATTGAAGACAATAGCCCATGACCTTCTGCAGCAAACGCCTCAGGTCCTCCTCAGTTTCGGCCAGCAAGGTTACATCACCTGCATGATGCAGGCTGTTGGTGAGTTTTCCTCCAATCCTGGCACCACATTCCTTCTCAGAGTGCCCAGATGATCTGTTCTGCATATAGGCTGAAACATCATAGAGACAGGCCACATCCCTGACATACCCTTTTCCTAATTTTGAACCACACAGTGAGTCCTTGCTCTGACAACGGCTTCCTGGTCCAAGTACAGGTTTCACATGAGCACAAGAAGTGTTCCGGGAAACCCATTCTTCTCCAGGTTAGTCACAATTTGTTGTGACCCAAAGTAAATTAACAACTTTGATCTTTTCTCCATCTACTATGTTGCTGCCTAATGGTCCAGTGGAAAGATTTTTTGTTTTATTGACACTGAGATGTAATTTATGCTGAAAGCTGTGGTGTTTAACTTTTTTTGTTTAGCACTTCAAAACTTCTTTACTTTCTGCGAGGGGTTATGCTATCTGCATAACAAAGGTTGTTGATGAGTCTTCCTCCAATCCTGAGCCACATTCTTCACGTAGTCCGGCTTCTTGAATTATCTGGTCACCATACAGACTGAATAGGTACGGGGAAAGGGCATAACCCTGATGCACACCTTTCCGGATTTTAAACCATCCAGTGTTCTCTTGTTTTGTTCACAGCTGGGTTTGGGCCTATGTATAGGTTTCACATGAATACAGTTAAGTGCTCTGGGATCCCATTCTTCTCAATGTTAGTCATACATAGTTTGTTATGATTCACAGTCAATGCCTGTGTAGTCAATGTTGTTGTTACGTGCTGTCAAGTCACCTGCGACTCATAGCGACCTATATACAACAGCTCTGAAGGCTGTCCTCAGCCAGTCTCACTGACTATGACACATCTACCCTCATTGCGTTCGTTACTGTATAAATCCGTCTCATCTGGGGTCTTCCTTTCCTGCACTGTCCCTCCACCCTTCCAAGCATGAGATCGCCTCCCCAACGGTCGGTCCCTCCTGGCCACATGCCCAAAGAGTGTGAGACGGAGCTTCAGAATCCTAGCCTCCAAGGAGAAACTTGGTTTCACCTTCTCCAAGACAGAACTATTTGTTTTCATGGTGTGTTCAAGACTCTTCCCAGCACCACAACTCAAACATATCAATTCTTTTGTCATTCTTAGTCATTGTCCAGCTCTTTGATGTATAGCAAGTAATTGTGAAAACCATGGACTGGATCAGGTGCACCTTAGTCTCTAGACTGACATCTTTGCTTCTCAGTACTCTGGAGAGGTCCTTGACAGCAAAACATAACATCTTTCTGGTCCTCTCTGCTTTCTGCCAGGGTCTCCTTGACATAGTAATAGCCTTTGTGCCACAGCCTCTTCTGAATCCAGCCTGGATTTCTAGCAGGTATCTGTCAAGGCACTGGTCCAGCCGTTTTTTAATAATCTTTGGGAAGATTTTAGTTAAGAGGTTGGCCTTATAATAAGAGATTGCACTGCAATCCCAAAGGCACGTGACTCAAATCTACCAACTGCTCTGTGGGATAAGGATGGAAATCTCCCCTCACGCAAACCTGCTGGAGGGTCAGCTATGGGTCAGTTCTGACTTGATGGTACACAACAAGAAGAAAGATCTTAAAAAAAAAAAAGAAGAAGAAAGATCTTATCTGTGATATTAACGATACTGCTAGATGATTTCCACATTCTGTGGACCACTTTTCTTTCTTGGGAATCGGGACAAATACTAATTTCTTCCAGTGACTTGGCTAGGTAGCCGTTTCCCAAAATTTCTTGACAGACTAGTGAGCATGTGCAGGGCTACAGCTGTTTGTCAAAACATGTCAACCGGTATTCCATGAGTTCCTGGGGCCTTATTTTTTGCCAGTGCTTTCAGTCAGCTTGCACTTCTTCCTTCATTACCATTGACCCTTGATCAGATGGTACTTGTGAAACATTCCAGTGTTGACCGATTCTTTCTGGTACAGTGAACCTTGTGTTCCTTCCATCCTCTTCTGGTTCTTCCTGCATCAATAAATTGGCCCTAGAATCCTTCACTGTTGCGACTCCAGGCTTGACTTTGTCCTTCAGTTCCTTCAGCTGGGAATTCCAGCTGTGCTCTTCCCTTCTGCCTTTCTGACTCCATCTCCTCGCACGTTTCCGAATGCTTTGCTGCGTCTTCTCAGGCTGCCCTCTGAGCTCTGGTCGGGTCCCCACCTCAGCAGCCCTACCCCTTGGCTTGGCTTCTTCTCTTTGTAGTATAAGTTTCAGGGTCCCTTCTGACAACCATTTTGGTCTTTTCTTTCTTCCCTGCCTTTGTGATGACCTTTGACTTTCTTCACAGATGATGTCCTGTGTCATCACAGCTCCTCTGGTCTCTGCTGGGAGGGCCGACCACCCATCAAACACCATGAGAAGAGGCTCTAATAGGAACTGGTCTTTCTCATCACCTCCCCAGGTGACTTCCCTTCACCGCTAGATGGCACCCTTGGCCCACTTGGCAGAAGAGAAATGGGAGCCTGAATTTGAGCAGGTTGGGGATGGGGGACTTGAGAGCTGTCCAGGAGCCGGCCCACTGGCCCCAATGACCCAGGAGGGTCCTACCATGAAGGCGGGGCTGGGCCTCGGGGCCCTGGACACACACTTTACAGGGCGCCTGCCCTCCTGAGGCCACCGGGGTAAGCTACTCTTTTAGTGAGTGGCAGTGCCGGGTTCTAGGACCCCCGCAGGTCTTACCCCACCTGGCATCCAGGCCAGTCCACGGCCAGTGAGCCTCAGTGGTCAGAAGCATACCTGAGGAGCAGCGGGGTCTAGGCTTGTGGGAAGCGGGGGACAGCCTTACCGTGACCTCCTACCACAGTGGCCACCGTGCTGGTCAGAGACCCCCAGGAAGCGCTCTTTCCTGCCAGACTGCCCGTGCGGCCGGGTGGCCTCATCAGGGTCCTCTTGAGCTCCACCTGGAACAGAAGGCACGCGAACGCCGTCACAGATCCCTCACACACCCACTACTCCGTCCCTCCAGGGTCCACAGGGTTTCAGAAATGCATGGTCAGCCCTGCTTCCTAGTCTGTCTTAATCTGGGAGTTCCACCGACACCTGTCCACCCTGGGTGATGCTTCTGGCATTTTTCATGGGATCGCTACGAGCTGTACTCGACTCGAGGGCACCCAACAACAACTCTCGTCTCAGGAGGTAGTTTGAAAAGAATTCCTAACAACCCAAGAACTTAGAGAGTCAGCAAGTGTTTCTCAGGTGCAGCCTGCAAACTTCACATGACAAACAGCTGGTCTGATATGCAGATCTGGGGTCCTCCACAGTGCAGCCCCCACCTTTGCCTGCCTTCCCACACCAGCTGATCACCCCCCACCACTCCTGCCTGTCCTCCACACTATCTGTCCACCCTTGACCACTCCTGCCTGCCTTCCCACACCAGATGACCCCACCTCGCCCACCCCAACCTTGCCAGCCCTCTCACACCAGATGACCCTTCCCTGCCTCCCACCCACACCTACCACAGGGACTATTTTTAATTTTCATTAAATGTGTCCTTTTATTTGAAGAGGACTTTCACTGTCGTTGCTTTCACACCAGCCCGTCCCTGCTGAGCCTCCCAAGGCCTCCCCACACCCCACACTGCACTCACCTTGCTGGGCACAGGGAGCGCTCTCTTGCCAGGGACCACATGGCTGCTGCCGGCTGGTGTGGTGGCCACACCCACAGATGCTCTGGACTTCTTGGGAAGCAGCTCGCGGTGGGACCCCTCGGGCAGCAGCTTCATCCGGGAGGGGCTGGCTGGCGTCTCTCTTGTCGGCTGGAAGTTAAACGGGGAAATGCGAGAACTGTCCAGTCCAAACTAGTCACTGCGGTTTCCCCGTCACCAGCCCCACTAAGGGACAGGGTGGCACCTGCCTCCCCCATTACGAGGGACAGAATGAGCTGACTGCCGGGTTCCTCCCCAGGAGCGGCGTCAGACACGTGTGTCCAGAACAGAGTGCCTCCGAGCTCGTGCAAGAGGGAGCTGGACAGTCCAGCAAAGAATCAGTTCTGCCAGTCCAGACACTGGGTGTCCACGCCACAGTCCAAGCTGACACCAGATGTCCCCATGACAGAGCGGCGAGCTGTGCCGGCACAAGATTAAAGCACCCAACAGGTAACCACAAGGTGGGGTGGGGGCTTCACGTCCACAAAGTGCGTGGACAGCACAGGGGCGGCGAGTCGGAAGCCCTCGCTGGCAGCACCCTGGATTTGGGGGCAGCACGCGGGCAGCTTTGTTACAGCAGGACCAGAAAGGCCCGACTTTAAGGCTCAGTGATGGTCTCCAGACATTTACTAAGATGGGCAATCCACGGTCAGCACAATGCGATTTCAGAACGTTTCGTCCCCCCAGAAGAAAGCCCGCACCTTCCCTCTGCCTGAGCACCGTCCCCTCCCCACCCACACCCCACTCCCGGGCCCTCCGTGGGGGGTGACTGCACTCCAAAGAGGACCTGTCCGTCGTCAGTCTAAACAAACACCTCCATTCCGCAGGCCGGAGAACCCATGCGGTGACTCGATCCAACGGAGGACAGAGTGAGACTGCCCACAGGGACCACGGCCTCACCTGCCTCCCAGGAAGCAGTCTGTGGGTTTGAACCCCCAACCTTTACACTAGCAGCTGGGAGCTGAGCTGTGCCCCGGACTCCGCTGTGGGATAACGGGGGACACCAGGACGGAGGCTTCCTGGTGCAGCAGTGGATCATGTGCGGGCAGCTGACCAGCTGGTTGGCAGTCTGAGCCCGCCGGCTGCTGACGAGCGTGGGTTCCGGGAAACACGGCGGCTGCACCGTCAAGTCAGGACCGACCCACAGCTCACCGTCCAACAGGTCATCAGAGGCAGTAAAATCACCCGGGAGGAGATGCCCATCCTTCTCCCTCAGAGCAGCTGGTGGATTCGAACCATGTGCCTTTGTGTTGGCAGGGTAATTCCTTACCACTAAGCCACCAGCGCTCCTCCTGTAGCCCGCTGCCTTGGAACCCCTAGGGGGCAGCTCTACGCTGTCCTGCAGGGTCCCCAGAAGTCAGGATGGGCCCACAGGTGGGTGCTGTAGGAGTGATTCTTAGGCCTGCCGCGTAGGATGGATTCTGATTCACAGGGGCCCCGTGTGAGGTGGGGGAGAGCCCCCCAAGGGCTGCTGGCTGTAATGTTTAGGGACACAGACCACTGGGCCTGTCCCCGGCCGCACCAGGCAGACCTGACCTCTAACCTCAAGGCAGCAGATGGATGCTTGAACCCCAGAAACCTTTGCAGCCCGAGCCCCCCCCAAGCCAAACCCCGTCCCCGCTCTTCCAGCTCTTCATGCTGGGAGCCTGCAGGGCACCCACACATCTGCATCCCCACAGTGGTTCCTGAGACGCCCCCCAAGACCAACATCCAGCGGGGTCCCTGTCTACCTTCTCCACGGCCGAGGGGCGGCCTTTTCCTCTGAAGGACGAGGCTCGGGGCATCTGCAATTTGCTGGCGGTCTTTTTTTGTGTTATTGGCCGACCTGGAGCGGCAGTGGCACTTGGCTCTGCGGCCAGTGAGGAACGAGAAGATGGCCGGGACTCCTGCGTGCGGGCGAGGCTGGCCAGGCCTGGGGTGCTGTGAGGGGCAGGAGCTCTGGGAGGAGCAGGGCTGCCGGGAGGGGCCGGGGCGCTGTGAGGGGGGCGGGCAGGGCCAGGACCGGTGGCCAGGCCAGGAGGGGGCTGCCGTCCCCGGCTCGGCGGGCCCAGGAGGGGGCTCTCCGACAGGAAGTACGTCTCCCTCTTCAGGGATGTGGGGCTCTTCTTCACGTCGTTTCCCTTCTCAAAGAGGCTGATTTTAAACTTTGATTCCTGCACAAACGTCTCCCCACTGGGGCCTGCAGGGCCCCTGGCGTCAGCGTCCTGCTGCTGGCCGCTGCTTTCGATTTGTAAAGCCAGCAAGTGTGCCTCTCTGGAGACTTCCAGAAACTTCTCCCCCGTCAGAGGGCTCCAGGGGGAGGGACTCTCCAAGGCTGGTAAGAGAGGCTCCTGGCGGGGCTGATGACCTGTGAAGCACGTTGCTCTGCGCCCATCAGGCCTGAGAAAGACCTCGTCATCTTCGTTGGCGCTGGAGGTAAGGTAAAGGGGGGGATTATTAGCAACGTGCACATGTACGTGGAGACCTCACGGGCGGGGCCAGGCTTACCTTGAAGAAGACAACGAGAGGTCAAAGTCGAACTTCTCGTCAGCCAGGAGGAAGACACCTGAGGGAGGGGGACAGTCTGTTATTTTAGGGCTGAGGCAGAGGGAGCACCTACAATCTCAAGAACCATCAGAGCAATGGGGAAATCTGACCCCCAAAGTATAGCCCACCCTATTTCAACAGCCACTTTAACCTAGATGCTCTGTTGTTACGTGCTGTTGAGTTGCCCACGACTCATAGGCACCCTCTGTACAACAGCCCTCAGCCCTGCTCTATCCTGTGCCAAGCTCACCATCTCCAACACACCCAACCCCCTTACCCCAGTCACTGAGTCAATCCATCTCATAGAGGATCTTCCTCTTTTGTGCTGTCCCTCCACCCTCCCAAGAATGACGTCCCTTTCCAAGGACCAGTCCCTCCTTACAACATGTCCAAAGTATGTCAGACAGAGCCTCAGAATCCTTGCCTCCAAGGAGCAGCCTGGTCTCACCCTCTCCAGGACGAACCTGTTTGTTCTCCTAGCAGTCCATGGTATATTCATTTAATACTCCTCTCTAGCACCATAGCTCAAAGGCGTTAATTTTCCTTCTATCATCCCTAGTCACTGTCCAGCTTTCTGATGCACAGCAAGTAATTACAAAGACTATGGCCAGGGATGTGTCCCATCTCCATACCTTTTCAATCTACATGCAGAACAGATCATTTGGGAGGCTGGGCTCTATGAGGATGAATGTGACATCAGGATTGGAGAAGACTCATCAACAGTCTGCATTATGCTGACGACACGACCCTGCTTGCTAAAACTGAGGAGGACATGAAGCATTTGCTGTAGAAGGTCAAGGACTGCAGCCTTCAATATGGATTGAAGTTCAACATCAAAAAAACAAAGATTTCCACTATTGGGCCGATTGGCAGCATCATGACAGATGGTGAAAAAATTGAGATTGTTAACAGCGTTAGTTTGCTTGGTTCCACAATCAATACTCTTGGTACCAGCAGCCAGGAAAATAAAAGACGAATTGCATTGGGAAAGCCTGCTGTCAGAGACCTCTCCAGAGTACTGAGGAGCAACAATGTCAGTCTGGAGACTAAGGTGCACCTGATCCAAGCCACAGTCTTTGCAAGAGCACTCTAGATCATTCTATTTTTTTCTGTTTTCCTTTTCAAAGTGCAGCAGTCATCCTGTGCATGTGAAGCTGCTCTGAAAGCACATACCTCACCTTGAAGATAAAATCAAGAGCGCCCTCCCGAGTTGCTCAGCCAGTTTCTCAGAAGGGATGAGTCACTTTCAAGGTTAGAACATTTTTAAAAGAACGCCTGCCCTGGAGGAGAGGAAGTCCTACAAGTACATGCTCCCCCTTACAAGCTTCAGGACACACACTCATCTTCCGCGAAGAAACACAGGTGTTACTCAGAAACCCAGAAGGACATCATGCTGACTAACCACCCATCCCTCGTCTGGAGTGGCCCGAGCCACATGCACACTGACATC